AAGAGAAGAGAAGAGAAGAGAAGAGAAGAGAAGAGAAGAGAAGAGAAAAAAGACTCTCTGATGATGTTCCAGTAAACAGTCATACGTTAGCAATTTGGGCCCACCGATCTCCTCCACAGAATGAATGCCAAGACTGAGGACGGCCAGGGGAGTCTCGCAGAGGTGGGAGCTCTGTCTGCTCAGTCTGGATTCCACAATGACAGCATGGAACAAACTCTCTGCTGAGATGCCTGGCTTCACGGTGAGACCATCTCACAGCTCACCCAGAGCAGCTGCTCTGTTCTCTGCCAGAGAACACAGGAGCACGTTCTCCTGAGATGCTGCCAGCTGCCTGTGCAGAGCAGCGAGCAGGATGTTTTCATCCAAAACACACACAAACTGCTTCTTCTCAGCTGGAGCGGAGGCTTCCCTTCCCCTAGAGGGAAATCCCTGCCTCACCTCACTTCCACAGCGCCTGGGGATCTTGCTCAGCAGCACCCCTAACATTGGTCCTACCTGGTGAAGGAATGGGAGGAGTCACAGTGCCTGGTAGAACACTGAGAAAACAGGCTGCCAAAACCCAACAGCCCCCACGATAATGGCAGAGAGGGATGCTCACACCGAGTGTGCCAGGGTGAGGGGGTGAGGGTTTCCTTGGAGGAGACGGACACACCATCACATACAGCCAATTAAGAAGCAGGGTGTGAAGAGATGTTTTACCTTTGGAAACAGAATTTCTGTGCAAGAGTCATTCATAAAAACAGAACAATCCCCTCCCTTTCTGCCTTCTAAAAAGGAGGTTTGTCACTAGTCAAAACCACGTCAGTAGATTAACTGACCACTACCTCCTGCACACTTGTATTTTAGTGGATTCCGACCGCTAACATTCAGCACACAGAGCACCAGACAAAACACAAACCACAACTTCCAATAATGTTCTTGCCCGGCCGGGTGACAGGCCTCGATTTCCAGCCACCATCACCCAAGCTACAGAGCAGCAAACGTAGCCCAGTGATCAGACAGCTGTGGTCCCCACACGACAGCTACTCAGACCCAGAAGATGCCCAGGTTCTGGCATCTCCTGAACGTTAGTCAACCCACTTCACACAGAATGGTCATGATGGTCTCTCAGGACAGCATAAGTTCCACATCAGAAATGGATGGAAACATCATTTGCAGCACAATCTGGGTCCCAGACAGCATGTGACCCCGTATGTACGGGACACGGTGTGAAGCTGTGATGAAGCGAGAAGTGCCTACTCCACAAGCATTTTGAATCTTTAAGTAGCCAAGGGGGAACAGGCAAAGTCTGCGGAGTCCAGGAGAGCCCACCAAGCAGTGCAGTGCTTTCCTAGCTTCTCCCTCTTTACCTGTTTCCTCTCCACCCCCCAGAACAGGCTCCGATCCAAGGATCGGCTGCAGGCGGCCAGCTGTGGTCAGATCTAATGGACACCCCCTTCTGAATTCCATATGCTTTTGGGAAATCGGAGACTTTGCGAAGTGTGCGTTAGAAGGCTGGGGCAGAAAGGATTGTGTACTGGCCAGACTTTCACTCCAGGTCTCCTGAGCTCTCAGCTCCGGCAGCTGCACAACCGTGGCTGAGCCGGGGAGCCGGAGAGCAGCAGTTAAAGTGGCTTAGACGCTTCCCGGTCCTTACAAAGGGGCAACTGCTGGTAGTTCATCAGTGTAGCCATGACAACCATGTTCTGCTTTGCACACTCCGGAGGCGAGGAGCCTGGAAGGCAGTGTCGGGGGATCCTCCTCGCCTAAGGACAGAAAAAGGACAGAGCCAGAGTCAGTACATTGCACTGGTCCAGACCCCATGCCACAAGGCTGGGATTGGCTCTTGTGCCCTGTACAAATGAGGCAAGCATCAGAACCAGCTCAGAGTAGCACTCTCATCCTCTTAACAGGATCTAGGCCCCTCAGCAGAGGAAGAAAGAGCCTTCTTTTGGGGTCAAAGTTTTGTATGTGTGACTCCAAGAAATTATGGGTTTGGTAGCCTCCTGAGGCCCTCAGGGGAAGAGCCCCCTTTCCTGGGATGTAGAAAGCTGGGATGGAGACTACACCGCTACATCCGTGAACACCAGGGCTTTAAAGACAGTGGGAGGATGAGGCAGCAAACACTTCAGGTCCCAGCAAAGACACAATCCCGCAGACCCTTGTGCAGCGCATGCGTTTTGGTATTCCGGTCTTCTCGGAGTGTAGAAAGGCAATGCAAGGCGAGATGGCTCAGAGCTAGCAGACTGCCACCGACCCTGACAACCGGAGTTTAACCTAGGAACCCTCCTCTGATCTCTGCATGTGCACCATGGCACACTCCTTCCTTATATGTAAAGCTAACCATGTGCACCAGTATACCTAACACTGGTGGTCGGCCCTGCGCACCATAATTCACCACCATCATTTCTTCAGTTCCATATTCCCATTACCTGGACTAAATCAACACTATCAGAAGAGTTACATTATTTCCTATCACTGTTCATTTGGGGAAATGCTTTGATGGCTTTCAGAAGTGTGGCCAAAGGCTGTATGGCCTGTATCAACAGCCTAGTCCCCAGCCAGGCATAGTGGAGCATGCCTTTAATCCCAGGACTCAGGAAGCAGAAGCAGGTGGTTCTCTGTGAGTCCAGGACCAGCTTGGTCTACACAGTGAGTTCCAGGAGAGTCAGAGCTGCACAGCTGAGACCCAACAGATGATCGATAGATAGATAGATAGATAGATAGATAGATAGATAGATAGATAGATAGGATAAAGGTAGACTAGATAGAGAGGTGACAGATAAAATAAGGGCCCAGCCCAGGGCATCTTACCTAGGCCAGAGGAGGACGATACACTCTCAGCCAAGGAAGATGTTTCCATCTGGTCTGGAGAGAGTCCTTCCATTAGAGGCAGAGACAGCTCTGATGAGGGCACAGAGGAATCATATATGCCCGAGTCCCGTGGCATTTCTGAGGGACTTCCAGCTTTCAGAGCATGCAACAGGGGCTGCAAGGCAGGGCCACTCTCATAGGGGAGTGGGGCGTCAGTGTCTCGGTCCAGGCCTACATGCTGATTCTCCAGATATGAGTAAGAGTCAGCTGGCCCAGTGGCCCCAAGTACTGAAGCCTCAGCTTTTAGACAGAAGTCACTCTCTGGCCCTGGTTTGCTTATGACATCATTTAAAACCAAACCTGAGTCAAACTTCTCCAGGACTGGCTCCTGGTAGCGCACGGGGGGAGGATGAAAGGGTAAGAGCTGCTTCTCGAACCAATCTGGTTCCTCATCAATAAATTGGTGCATGCTGCAAATGGCAGCGTGCAAGGAGCGGCCAGACTTGCTGCGGAAGTAGCTCCTTCTACTGCTGTGTCCTGGGTGCTGACTCGGCTCCTGAAGGCTGTGTTCTCCTGAGTGCAAATGGGAGCACAGCTCAGGAAGGCTGTCCATGAGCTTGTATTTGGTGGCCAGGTCCAGGACGCAGGGGACATCTCCCTCACAGGAATAATCAAAGTAGACAGCGATGAACTTGCTAAGTGCCGCAGATGAACTCTGCTTGGCCTGACGGAGCTTTTCAGCAATGGCCGCCACAGCCACGAGGAAGAGCTCTCCTTGCCCTGCGCCTCGACTGCCTCCTTTGTGTTTGTAGCTTTTCTTGTCTACAAAGTACTTCATGCCTTTGGAGCACACAACAATGATGAAGTGGGACTCATGGATCTTCTGAATAACCCATTCTCTCTGCCCTTCTCTGCAGAGGCTGAAATCTTCCCACAGGTCCAGAGCCACCTGGAAAGAGGACAGGTCACCTTACTTCTCACACCAATGCCCAGAAGGCAGATTGGAACAGATGGCAAGGTCCTATCATCTGCCCCTCAGCTATTATTAGCAGGGATGTGCAGGATCTGGGCACGAGCACGTGCTCGAGCGTGCGCACGCACGCACACACACACACACACACACACACAAACAGCTAAGACTGTGATTGGCAGCCACCTCCAAACACTAGCCATCTATGACCTCACCTTGATAACACTATGGGGTCGTTACCACTGTTGCCCTGACACTGACATGACAGAAGCCAGGATTTTCAGCAACGCATCTAAGACACACTGAGGATGTCCTACAGTACGACAGAGGCCACAGTAAGAAGGAACTGAGAGCAGGTGTGCGATAAGCGAGGCTGACAGATACAAAGAGCAGAAGGCTCCCCGAGATAAGGCTAAGGGGCTCTAAAAGAGGATGTGGATAGCGACCCCAAAGCGTGCTGGGAAATGGAACTAAGGCCTGGTGCCAGTCGCCCACCTTGACAGCTAACTCACATGTAGAATGCGACTGAGGACCCCTGCGGCCATGTTCACAGAACCAGGGTCAGCCTGCTGTCCTGCCCCTTTCTCTGGGGTTTCAGAGGTCTACAGTGTCATAACTCTACAAGGCCTGTGAACCATAAAGGTTTGGGGGTAAAGAGAGTCAAGAGAGTAGTGGAATCCCTGATTAAAAAACAAAAACAAAAACAAAAACAAAAACAAAGTATATCTGATGCCCTCAAACTACTTTCATCCAATACTGTAAGCAGCATCCCTTGGCAGCTGTGTTTGTACCATTCTTCCCGTAGGATACTGTAAGCAGCATTTCTTGGCAACTGTACTGGTACTGTTTCTCTTGTAGTTCAAAAAATAAGACCTAACAGCTAAAAGCAGATTGTGCAGGGGAAGGGCACTCTGGAAGGGTTAAATTCATCTGTTCTAAAAAGCCCCAGCATCTATCCATCTGCGAAAAAGAATACTGACTCATCTCGTACTTTAAGTCATGCTAACATTATGCACATTCAACGTAAGTGAGTAATTTAAAATATGTGGCCTCTAGGTTTGTATCATACAAAAATTGTTCTACTAATCTTTTGAGACCTGTGTATTTTGTTAAGTCACATATGGAATATTTTACAAAGCTGTAAAATCTCTGTATTGGTTGATGTGCTCTTAATAAATAAAACATAAGTGGTTTTTAAAATATTTTTAAAATTCTCCAACTGGGCAATTCTATTGTGAGGCATTTAATCCTTGAGAAACCATCAGAAATGGGCCAGCCCAGGATTGAGAAGCTTGACAATCTGGACTAACACAGCTACGGTAAATCCGTATTATGGGTGATACTGTAGCTCCTTAAAAAACAAACAATGTGTAATTTCATCTATGTACAAAAAACAGGGCACAAATACACCACCTCTGTCCCAACACTTGGAAGCCACTGGGTACATCTGCAGTGTTTCTCAGCAGCTGTTCATCTGTTAAGACTCAAGGCTTTTCCTCACGAGGAAATCCCACCAGCTTTTAAGTACAACTTATTAACACCAGAGGGCAGTCTTGCCAAAGAAATGAACTAACTGGCAGTTCTAAGTGAAGGGAAAATTGCATTTGTGCCAGAGCCTGACTTCCACAATAGCTTTAGACTCCACTCTAAAAATCAAGTGACATTTTATAGGAAAGCTACATGTTAACAGTTAACTCAAGAAATGCTGAGAAAGCCTGGCATGGGGGTGTACACCTTTAATCCCAGCATGATCTATAAATTGAATTCCAGGACAGCCAGAGCTACAAAGTGGGGGGAGAGGGGGAGGGGAAATGGGAGTGCTAGGAAACCAGCATAGATATTCAAATATTTGGTAAATTCTGGAGCCCTCCTTCTACTCCCTGGTCCTCACTAGCTCTAACTGCCTTTTTGCTGGTTCTTTTCTCCCTTTCCATGACTTCATACCAATCACTCAACCTTTGTTACACATCCCTCTGTGCCTTCCTCCATTCCCATTCTCAGCAGACCTCCTCCAGAGAATTGCCTAAACTTCTAAAACTGTCTTCATTTGCCATTTTCTTCCTGATGACCCAAATGAGGCTTAATCTTGCAAGGCGCTCACCATGAGGCCAGGTGACGGTCTCACATTCCGGTCACGTGTTCCACAGCAGGGCACCCTTTTTCAGCACCCACAAAACGTCCTATAATGTGGATGTCACTCAAGGGTCTCAAGCAAGAATGTGTCATATGAAAACTTCACTGCTGGAGACACACAGGACAAACTCAGACAGGCACTAGATTTGGAAAGGAGGCACTAGGCAAAAGTAGGAGAGGAGAAGGCACTGAAGAGAAACAAAGAAATATGAAGTGAACATCCTGCCCAGGATAAGAGGAGAAACAGAGTCCGCACCTCACAGCCACAGAAATCCTGAAGAAAGTAGGCAAAACACTGGACCACATTCGTGTGATTCTGGCCATCTTTACTGGAGTAGCAAAGGAAGACCTTGGGCCGTGGCCGGAGCCTGTCTCTGGGGATGACTGCAGCGTATGTGGAGGACTCCAGGCTTTCTTCATCTAAATGTGAATATATATTGTCTAAATTGGGAAAGAAGATAAGGTTGACACCTCTAAGCAAAGCTTTGTCTTTCTCCACACGACCTGGGACTCAGCATCTTCAGGAATGAGCAACTCAGCTGCAGCACAGCGGCTCACAGCTAAAATCCCAGCACTTCGAGGTGGAGGCCAAAAAAGGTCAGAAGTTCAGGATCATCCTCAGCTACATAGCAAGTTGGAGGCCAGCCTGGGCTACATGAGACCTAGTCTCAAAAGTAAACTTACAAAAAAGACCAGCTAACATCTCCACCTCAGGAATCTGGATCTCTGACTCCAGCAGCCTCAAGCTGCACTGTGAATGAGACATTTCTGCAGTGGTGTTTCAGGAAGTGAGGAGACGGTATTAACCTGAAACTGCCCTTGGTCGTGCCAAGAAATGTTACAGCATCCCTCAGGTCAGAGAAGTGGCCCGTGATGGCTCTGGCAACCAAATGAACTAAACAAAGCATTGGCAGAGAGAGGGAGAGTTATTTCAGTATAGCTTACAAAGGTAAAATATACCAAAACAACAACAAAAATGACTTTTCTCTCCTTTTTTGATGAAGGGTCTCACTGTATTACCCAGGCTAGCCTCTAATTCCTGGACTGAAGTGATCCTCCTGCCTCAGCCTCCCAAGTAACTGGGATCTGGAGCTTGTGCCACCATGCTTGGCTTAAAATACACAAATATTTTTTTGGTTTGTTTGTTTGGTTGGATTTTTTTTTTTTTTCCCTAGTCAGGGTTTCCCTGTTTAGCTTTGGCTGTCCTGGCCTCACTTTGTAGTCCAGGCTGGCCTCAAACTCTCAGAGATCCTCCTGCCTCCCTGAGTGCTGGGATTAAGTACACAAATCTTCAGTGAATCACCATGACTTTCATATAAGTATATATACATCTGGGTGACCCCCACCAGACAAGACATGGCTCATCTACAGTTTTCCAGGTGAAATACCTAACTTATCAATGACGAAGCCCTCCATGTGACTGTTCTTATACTCCAGACCTCCTGAGTTTGAGAACAGAATTATGTCTGTCCACTACCAGGTCCTAGAGATTAAAAACCCAATATTTTGACGCTGGGAACTGCAGTAGGCAAGGAACTGGCAATGGAGCATGGAGTGTCCCAGCCCGCCCCCCCCGCCCCCCCCCCCAGCAAGCAGGGCTTCCCAGGCACCCACCCTTAGCCTGCCAGAAGCTACAGGGCGGAGAGAAGAGGGCATGGCACAGAGGGATACCTTGCTGTTTCTTTCTGCACATCACGGTGAAAAGTGTTGCGAACGCTGATATGACAACCAGAGGCACCGTGATGGCCACAGCTCTGATGGGTCCAGCCCAGGGAGAGTGCACTGGGAGAGTTCAAAGGGAAAGCTTTTAAACTCAAGCGGCAGAACAGGTTCAAAGACAGAGGGGGGAAAGTTTTCTCCCTTTTTGTTTTTAAACATAAGCTGCCTAACAGGTTCCAGGGTCCCCCAACAACCTTACCCCAGCTCTGCCGTGGAGATTAAAAAAAGGATTCCACAGTTCCTTTGTAAATGGTTGTAGAAAATAATTCACTAGCTCTGGAAATGCTGAGACAGTGAGAACTCTGCCTAAGGCAAGGCCCCTCCCCCTCCTGTCTTCTCAGAACAACTGCCTAGTCTCAGTGGCAGATACATGCTGGCTTGGATCTGCCAGGCACCAACACAAGGTGGAAGGAAACAATTGTTTGAAAGAGGAGAGGCGACGGTGTTGTTTGGTAACGCATACAGCGCAAGAGCACAGAAAATCCCAGAAGCCTTCACTCGAGGGTCTGGCATCAACCCCACGCCGAGGAGGTCTCACCTGGCTTTACCACGTACTGCACCGCTTTCCTGGTTGTGTTGCTGCTGTCCACCAGCTGCGAAACAGAGAGGCCGTGTTACCAGTTTGCAGGCGACCACACATGTGTAAATTCTCCCTAGCAGGGAGGCACAAAACTGGTGACGTCATTCATCTTTCCATCACCAGACAGTATAATAGTGCCAGTTTAACACTTTAAGTCAAGCTTTAAAACAAACAAACAAACATGGGGCTGAGGGGACGGCTTCATGAATACAGGTACTTGTGCAAGCTTGAAGACTTGAGTTCAAATCCTCAGGACCTGCACAAAAGCCAGGAGCATAATGGGAGCATCCGTAACCCTAGGAGGTAAAGGTAGTTTATTCGAAGCCATCCTCCATTCTATAGGGAGTTTGAGACTAGCCTGGGCTACACAGGACTCAGTCTTGAACTAAATAAACAAAAAGACTCAGAATTCTGTATGAACTCTTTTTCTGTGGATGTAATTCAGTTATACGTACCTCAATAATATAATCCCCTGGAGAAATGTTTTGGAGGAGGCAGCTGGTTGTCTCTGTATTCTGATCCTACAAAAAGCAAACAGCAACTCAAACATTCATGTCTTAAAAGAGGCATCAGGCCTTTTCCTCCCTAAGGTTTGCGCTCTCTTTCAGACGTGATTAGATCAGAAAACAGCGGTGCTTATCTGCCACATGTCATTTAAACTTTACTGAATATAAGGCCCAGGACCGTTGCCATAGCCTGTGCTTAGCTGGCAGTGCCTCATCTTTATCATCTGAAAATAAGCAAATTAACTAGAATACTCTCTTCCTAATAAAAAATGTAAGAAGAGGGGCTAGAGAGATGGCTCAGCCATCAAGAGCACTCCCTGCTCTTGCTAAGGACATCAGGTCAGGCTCCCACAGGGCAGCTTACAGTCATCTGCAATTCTAGTTCCAAGGAATCTGACGCCCTCTTCTGGCCTCTGCAGGTACTGCATGCATGTGGTGCACAGACACGCACACAGACAAAGCATTCATAAACACAACATAAAAACACACCCACGTGTATAAACCCAGAATGAATAAAACAAACTAGTTAAAAAAAAAAAAAAAAAAAAAAAAAAAAAAAACTTCCTTTGAGGCAGGGGTATACCCTGCAATCCTAGCACTCGGCAGCGGCAGGCGGACGGATCCTTTAGAGTTTGAGGCCAGCCTGGTCTACAAAGAAAACAGCCAAGGCTACACAGAAAAACCCTGCCTCAAAAAAACAAACAAACAAAAAACCAAAATAAAAAAACTTCTTCAAAGGGAAAAAAAGATTTTCTAGTTTATTTACTAATTTTTGAAGAAAGAGCTAGGCCTGCCATGGTGGTGCATACCTTTAATCCCAGCACTCAGGAGGCAGAAGCAAGACTTGAGTTCAAGAAAAGCCCAGACTACATAATGGGCCTGGACTACTCTGTGAGTACCAGGTCAGCCAAGGCTACAGAGTGGGACCTTGTCTTCAAACAAAAGGAAAAAGAAAGGGTGAGGGGGGAAAAAAACAAAACACTTCCAAGTCCAACTTCCACACAATAAAAATAAATAAGGCAGTCCCCTACACTTCCACAAAGCATCTCCCACTGCTCTGCTCACACTCAGATTATGAGTTTGGTTATCAGGTTTCTATATAACCTTGGCTCTCAGGGAGGGAGGGAGGAAGAAGAAAGGAGAGAAGGAAGGAGAGAGACAGAGAAAATCAAGGGCCATTGATTTGCTAGTGACTTGCTTCAAGACCTTTTTTCCACTTTCTAGCTATGTGATCTCCTCTCAGAACCCCAGGTTCTCCATCTATAAATGGTGAATGAAAGCAGGCTGTCTGAAGAGCAGTCAGGATTTAAAGAGCAGGAAGGTCAGGGATCGCCTGCCACACAGCACCTGGCAGATACTTAAAATGGAAAACCAACTAGAAATATCTATGCTTTTGATCCCTTAGCATTCTATCACGCCAGGACAGGTATGGTGGAGACGTCAGGACAATGGTGAGCCCCCCAGAGACAGAGCCTGTGGCAAACATTCTGAAATGACCTGTGACCACTGTAGCCTTACACTTGCTCCAGCCACCCAATGTCACTTTGAAACAAGTGTGTTTCTGAAGCGCACAGTCGCTCACCTGCTTGCACGTCCTCCGCCTGAAGGGGCCTTCGTGCTTGAGCTTATAGTGAAGGTGGAAGCCACGGAAACCGAAGTTGTGTGGCGCACGCTCGAAGGACACCTGCATGTCTGAGCCGTGCTGGGTGATGTTCAGGCTCCGAGGCTTCCAGACTGCAAGGAGGAAGGGCCTAGAGTAAGCGCCCAACAGCTGCCCCAACACCATTACAGGGTAATACTTTGAGACCAGACAGACAGCTGTACTTACAGGGCTTACAGGCCAAGTTGTCAGGTTGTAACAACAGGTCACAAGCTTTTATGTTAAAAAAAAAAAAAAAAAAAAGGCTATTTTTAGTTTTACGACAGTTTGTTTCCCTCCTATAATAACTGAACTACACACACACACACACACACACACACACACACACACACCACACACACACACACCCTGGACCTGGTGTGCCTGAGAAGGTACAAATTACATCAATTCAACAATGGGATTTTCATTATAACTGTATCTCAACAAACATTTCAAAGCTACAGCATACAAATATGACTGCAGTGAACTTCAGGCCACCCAAGCAGAAGCTGTGTAAAGTCACTGAGGTGGCAAAGCTCGTCCAATATTGTACAGCTTCAGCGCTCCAAAGGCAGTGGAACTGTCGGCGCTTACGCCACTCAGTGTGCACCACTGTGGAGAGGCCTTCGCACACGGGGGCTCTTGGTGACCACCTTATTCCAAGCTTCGCCTGCACTCTTATCCAGGCTCCTCGTGGTGGCCCTGTGAACAGCACTCAGATATTGACTGAGCTGTCATCTCTGAAAGTCACATCCCAAAGCCAGGCCCTTTGAAATGGTATTCGTCCGTTCCTAGCAACGTGACGAGAGAGGCACCTAGCCACACTACACCGCAAAGCTACAGTCTTCCGGAAGGGCACAGGTAACGTCAAGGAAATTGAGGTGGCAGCAGAGCCGCAGAGCGCTGACACGTGAATGATACCTGCATCCCAGGATACATCCCTTCTTGCACCTTATTCCAAAGCACAGCAATTCTGCTAGGAAATTTTCATCTTAAAGTACGCTGTTTTTTAAGATGAAAATTGTGGATTTTTCCACAAACACATTCTTTGCGTTTTCTCTCTGGTCACTATGCAGAAAGCAACAACAGACGTGACAACCGCATGGTCTTGACCTAATGAATCTTATTTCAACTAGGAAAACAAGACTTAGGAAATAACTTGGCCACATAGGAAACAACCTCATCGAGAACTTGACAAAAGGCAACGTGGGTGCAGGCTAGGGTTGAGACCAAATATTTCATAGAAAATGAGGAATACGACACCAGTCACGAGGACAGGTAGCTGGCCATCCACGACCAAGAACCCCAGCTGAGAAGTATGGTCAGGAGGCAGGAGGCCACCACAGAGGCTTTCACGGTGACGGGCCAGTCAGGAAGAGGGAGGAGAAGCCACGTTCAGAACAACTGGAAAGCCAGCATGGTTGGTAGCTGGTAGTGTGGGCTTCAGCGCTTCTGGGGCTCACACTCCAGCTCCCAGCACAGCCCTCTGCCCTCTCTGTGTGAGCACACACACATCTAGTAAGTTCTAGAATCAAGACTCTAGCCCTTGTCTCAGAAAACAAACAAACAAGCAAACAAAACCAATATATAAATAAACCAAAACAGAACATAAACAGTGTGTTTTTCTTTGGATTAGGATAGATCTTCTATGCTACCCTATCTACACAGAAAAAAACTAACCTAAAATTTGCAGTGATCCTCCCCACGGACCAAGATTACAAGCATGTCCTACCGTGTCTAATAACATACCGCTCTCCCCAAGGCGAAAGATTAACCTAGCATGTGCTAGGCAAGCACTCTACCACAGAACTACAGGCCAGCCTGCTGAGCTCTAATTAGTCCCTTTTATTATCTTATGTGTGGGGGTGCTTTGCCTGCATGTGTGTCTGTGCACCACTTGTATGTACGCCTGGTGTCCACAGAGGTCAGAAGGCGGCATTGGATCCCCTGGAGCTAGAGCTACCAAACCCAGATCCTCTGAAAGAACAGCCCGTGCTCTTAACTGGAGAACCAACTCTCTAACCCTTAGCCTTTGTGAGGCTGAGGCAGGAGGACTGGTGTGAGCTTTAGTCTAACCTGGGCTACCAGGATAGACTAATTCCAGGATAGCCTGGACCATGGAGAGACCTTGCCCTCGTCACCTTTTTAATGTGAATTTGTTTCTCGTCCTACTTAATTCGTATCAGTATCTGGTGTGTTTGTAATCATGTCTGTGGAGAGATCACTGAAAGCAGAAATGGCTCCTTTAGGAGGCAGGCAGGGAAGACCATACTCACCCCGGGTTCTGAAGAAGAAGGGATGGTAATTGCTTTCGTTTTTAACGGAAGGGAAAGGGACAATCTTCACAAAGTAATCCGTTTCAAATTTCATATTCAGGAAAGGCTGGGATTCCATTCCCTGAAAAGGAACAGAGGCGCGCGTGCTGTGGAGGGCTGCCCACCCCCACCTACCAGAGCCCTGTACTCCACTGTCCCGCAGACCCACCCCAGGGCCAGGCTGGTCCCAGGAGAGTGGAGAGCCGGATCTATGCGATGCACCCAGGTTGGGTTTGGATCCCCGACATCGGAGATGGGCAGTGCGGTAAGAAAGCCGCCGCGGCACATCAGCGCTGAGCCTCAGAGCTGGAGGCCAAGGGGGGTGAGCCCACTCTTCCGAGCAGGCACCTGGGCTAGCGGCTGCTTCGGTGTAACCAGAGAGGTGTTCAGCGAAGCCCCACTGAAGAGCTTTCCTGGGTGTGTGGCAGGCTCGGCTGCTGCTCCCATTCTCGCCCACCTTGGCTAGGCTGTGGACCCCATTGCCCCCGCTTCTCCAATTTCAGACTTTCAATAGGCCATTCAGACCCCGGGGACAATGGTGTCTTCAAGAGCACATTTTCTGAGTGTGACTTACAGTTTTTTTGAAGCTACTGTTGAGCTGTTTTGGGTCCTTCAGAATCAGTTGCTGGCACTGTCTTCCCTCTGATTTCAGCTCCTCCAGTATCACTCGGAATCCTTTTAGGAATTCAATGCCTAAGCAGAACAGAGGCTTTTATGAGACACAGACCTAATTACCTCTGAACACATTTTGCCTCCTCGAAGGTCACATCGTTTCCAGCTACACAGAGAAGCTAAACACCATCCTCCTCTGCCCATGAGTCCACAGAACAGCAGAATGCTCACCTTGCCTTCATTCCTATGGGACAGGTGGCGTGGTCTCCCTCACTGTTCCTGACACACTCGGCCACTTGAGAAATACCTACTGTCTCTGAACCTTCGGCTCAAACACTTAAGCTCAAGTCTACAGCGGAAGGTATGATCGCAGGCGCAGTGGGCTGGTGATAATTCCCAGGGAATGCCCCCAAACTTTGTTTTTAATCTCAAATGTAAGCTGCATACTTTGTTGATCTGTTTCACTGAGCCAGCTTCCAAAATTCCTCACAGTTTGTGTCTGCACACAAGAGGGTTCCTATGCTTCAGATGAACCATTTCAGGGGACTGCCAGTCTTGCTCTGACTGTGCCTGAAAGGCAGCCAGCCATGGGCTGCCCAGTGTGTGCTCTGCATACAGCCCTCTGCAGCCTCAAGACGCCCACAGTGCTCCCCACCCGAGGTCCCCCACTGCACATGACTACATGCTTTCAGAAGGATTAAACTCCGACGGCCACAGGAGCCGGCACTGGGGCTCTGTATCCCACAGAGACTGGAGTGGGCCAAGTGCAGCTGGAGATTCCCAAAGCTGGCCTCAACTGTCGAGAGATCGATTTCACATTCTTTCTGAACTCCAGACAAGGAGACATTTTCAACCCTTCCCCTCCCAGGACAAAAGTAATTACACAGGATGCAATTAACCAGGTGGGAAAATTATTGATGGCAAAGGTCATGGAAATCTTTTCTCTTTTGAGTAGGTCCTCCAATTCTGTGATTATTTGATGAAGAGCACATCTCATGGTGGCTAGGGCAGGAAAGCCACAATTAGAGCCTCATATTATACAAGCCGGGAGCGCTACAGTGCATGGCATTTTTTTCAGTCACAAAGCTTCCTGTGGGTTGACGGTCAGTGAATCCACAGAGATTCAGACAACATGATTTAACATCTCTACTGGACCACATACTTAGAGCTCACAGGAACTTGACTTTTGAGACTGACAAAGAAAAGACTTCTGAACAAATCTTTATTACTTAAATACTATTTGATTCATGCAATGTTTCCAGAAAGATTATGTAACAAAAGGTAGGTGGTGACTCATAGATCTAAAAGCAAGCATCTCACAATTACTTAAACACTTATCGGATCGGGTTGTCTCTCTGTCTCTCTTATATCTCTCTGCCCCCGCCCCCCGCCCCCGTTGTTTGGTTGTTTTTTGTTTTTTGAGACAGGGTTTCTCAGGGTAGCCTTGGTTGTCACAGAACTCTGTAGATGAGGCTGGCCTTGAACTCAAGAGATCTACCTGTCTCTGACTCCCAAGCACTGGGATTAAGGGATGTACCACCACTTCAGGGCTGGGCCTTATTTTTCAAAGGCCAGACTGAAAACCATAATACCAAATATGGAACTAAGGGTCGACTGAGGCAGCAAATTAAAAGTCCTATGACACATCTATCCTTAAGTCATATAAGGCCTGGACCTGACTTAAGGACTCCAGTGCTCTCCACTGGAGAAACAAACTTCGTTTTGTTCTTGCCCTCCCATGTTGGTTATTAATGCCTCCTAAGAAACATGGGAGGTAGATACTCCATCTAAAGCCAAGGAAAGGTCCCCCGAAGATCACAGGGTAAATGAGACCCTGGAAGTATCGAGCTCTCAACATTGTCCTTAACCCATGTGCTACCCTGGCTTCCAAGGGGTTAACCTGATAGAATCTACCCCACCACAGATGATTCTTTCAATTCCTACCACCAGCTTATACGTCTCGCTCTCTTCTAAAGAGGGAGCCTACAGTTTGTCAGATTAAGGCTTAGCCATTTAAGCCTTAAATGGAATGAGCACTTCTTTTATCCACAGAATACTTTTAATCTTTAAATGTTAAGGTAAAATTACCTTTGGAAAACACATAGGGTTTTGACCCAAAAGTATTTATGTGGACAGGCAAGTTGGCTCAACACCTCCTCTATCTTCCCTCTCTCTTACACTCACTACACTGTAGTTCTAAGAATTTTCTGTTCAGATTTAAAAAAAAAAAAAATTCTGGGCTTATTTTTACTTCTCCTTGACCATGTGCTGAAAAAATGTCCAAGACCAGTGCAAAGTCAGAGGGACAGAACAGGGTTGGGACCCAGGTTCTAGGAACAGCAGCAGTTTTTCTTGCAACTTTCCCTGGCCAGCAACCACAAGGCAAGGCCCCCTTCCCCTTGGCACACAGGAAAGCTAGGACTCTACCAGTTTAAATGCCTCGTATGAAAGGCCAATCCAAAACAAGCCTGGCTATACACACACAGGATCCAGCCTTTGGGAGGCTAAGACAAGAAGGATGGTGAGTTGAAGGCTAGCCCTGGCTACCTGTCTCAGAAGACAAAAGGCAGGTGCTCAGCGTGCTGATGATACACACCTCTATTCCTAGCACTTTTGAGCTGGAGACATGTAGAGACAGGAAGATCAGGGTCGGGAGGCCATCCTGAGCTACACAGTAAGCTCCAGACCAGCCAGGGACACATGAGATCCTATCCCAAAAAACAAAAATCAAATAAACAAAAAGAAATTTGCCAATCAAATTCACGTGAATGGAGTTAAAGAATCTTAGGTCATCATGGCTTGACTATCTCACCTTCCCTTAGGAATCAATTCATTCAAGAAGACAGATTCAGCCTGGCATGGTGGTACATGCCTTTAATCCCAGCACCTGGGAGGCAGAGGCACACAGATCGGAATTCGAGGCCTGGGCTACACAGAGAAACCCTGTCTTGAAAAAAAACAAAGGCAGACTCAGACAATTTGGCCAGAGATGGGGCTTGCTTGCGGGCTGGCTGGCTTGCTATTTCCCTATTTCACTGAGTTTTGTTGGTCTACAAGATCTAAAAAAATTCAGCCGGGCCCAGTGGCATACACCTGTAATCCTAGCACTCTAGCACGCAGAGGCTGGTGGATCTCTGAGTCTGAGGCCAGCCTCTGAGATCAAGGACAGTCTACAAAGTAAGTCTAGGACAGACAGGCCTACACAGAGAAACCCTGTCTCAGGGAGAAAAAAAATTCAACTTGGTCTCTAACTTCAAGAAAAAAATTACTGATCTCATGCTTTCTTATGAAAACAGGATTTTACACACATACACACACACACACACACTGACTACAGAGGCACTAACGCTGGAGGCCATAGCCAATATGCCCCTGGAGAGACCACAGGGACATCCTGTGTCGTCATCACCTCCCTACTTCTGACTAATGTGACAGACACTTAGCCTGGACCACATAGAAAGAACCTGCCTTCTAAAACTTAAACTAATCACCTGTTATCTTTTCAAACTCACAATTCCCTCAAACAAGGAAACAAAACACAGGCCCTGGCAGCACCGCTTTAAGCTGTGCGTGTGCCTGGCTCAAGGATACAACAACATACAAAGTTCCCACTCCACTCTCATCAAACCGGCTCGCCTAGAGCCCACCCCACGGCCACTCACTCTGTCAGCATCCTTTCCCACAGAGCGTATGAGTGTTACCACTTACCAAGGACTCCTGGGGACCACAGAATGGTGACTGCCACTTGGTTGTGGCAAGCATACTGGCTTATTGTGATGTTCTGGGCATCTGCAATCATGTGCTTCCCAACAGGATTCAAGTAGGTGGTACAGTCTGGAGTTGGAAAAAGCAGAGAGTGAAGTTTCTAACCTTTATTCTCAACTTCATCTTACTAGCCTATGCAGAGTATGTCTAGGAGTGCCGTTGGTATAATGTTCTTTTCAAATGTATACACCTTACCCTTGTTCATTCAAATGCTGATTTCTCCCCACACTCTCTGGCTTCAATCCAAATGTTGCATTGTGATACTCATTCTAAGCATCCTGTCTCAACTCGTGTGTAAACAGGCCAAAATAAAGCAACTAAACACAATGCTGAGCTGGGAGGCGCCAGAGGACAGGAAAGAGGGGAGGAGAGAGCGGGCAGGAAGAGTGGGAGGAGAAGGGGCAAGAGGAGAGCTAGGAGAACAGAGCTGGAGGAGAGATCTTGGAACTATGTGGAGAGATGGCCTGGACCCAAGATATCATGAAAAGCAAGTATAATGTGGGAAATCTAAATGTTAGGAAACTATGAGGGCTTGGAGGTTTAGGATGGAGTAACTATTGCCCAGCATTGTGTTCTAGGTTAATTAAATAAATCCAGTCTCTGTGTGGTGATTTGGGTATACAGCTGTTTAGGATTAACAGCAGCATTACCTGAAGATAAATCAATAGTAAATATTAATCACTAACTACAACGGAGTGCCAAATGCACTCCTATTCTAAATTGCGTCCAAAGCTCAAATAAGACACTAAAGCTGATCATGTCTTAAGACATATAATAGTTATAGAGGGATATGTCTGCAGCAACACCACCCGGTCGCCTGAACTAAACCCCTGGACGCTGCTAGGACTGTTGGCTACAGACTTTTGTGTCAGTCATTAGCTTTATTGTTGTTGTTGTTTCTTCCTTACTCCTTTGCCATCTTACCAAAATCATTAGGTATTTACATCAAGTCTACTAGTTTCCACCGTTAAGGAGTGACATGAAAGAAAACCCTGTCAAATACTTTGGAGTGTGTTTGTTTTTAGAGGAGACCAAGAGGGCAAGGTCACTAGAAAAAAGAAACTGACATTCGGGTGTGAATCCACAGGGGAGTAATCTCACAGGCAAACTGTTAAATGACTGGTGTACACAACACAAGGCCCCAGGTTTGAGTGACACCAGCTAACATTCTCAAAGACGGTTTTCTCAGAGACCCACAATTTTCATTAAATCGCCAAAGCTCCTACCTAATGGCTCAAAAGGGGGAGGAAAAATAACTTATTTGATTTTACTCTGGGGGTGCCAATGTGGCCACTGCCTTCCGTGTAAACAGCTGTGTCACCAGGCATCGCCAATCACCTTCAAAAGCTGCCCGCGGCTGAGAGGGAATCATGCTGGAACTCCAGAGAACCACACTCTGGGTTGACAGCCTTGCTGAGAGAACCGTTCAGTGGATTACACAGCAGCTATCAACTCACACTGCTTCACCTCCATTTCTTTCTCATGATTCCACAAGGGTCACCTCTTCTGTATCTACTGCAAAGGGCCTTCACATTATCAAAGGTCCAAGTCTGCCCAGGACCCCAGTAAAGTAAGGGACATTTTCCTGGGCTGAAAGATTCCCAGGTTATTTCTAAGAAGCTCAGTAAACCTGTTACATTTTTCCCTTTGTAACATGTACTAAAAACTTTTGAGAGAAGCAATTGAAAACACAAAGGAATATTAAGAACAATACAAAGATCATTCATGCTCTCACTGCACACGGTCACTAGGTTAAGACTTGAAGGGGTGCCTTGCGAGCCTCTCGGCATAATTCTTCTTTTTCTTACTGAAGTGTATTCACACACTAGCTGCACACCCAACTTTTAAAACTCCAGCCTCCACATTGCCTGTGTCCTGCTTTCTTGCCTGACCACACCAGACAAGATCCCCTTCTTAAAATTCAACCGCTATAAAAAGTCACGTCTGTATTTCAGTATTACTTAAAAGGATGTTAGCAATTCTACTAAAGTCTGTCAGGCAGTGGTGGAGCACGCCTTTAACCCCAGCATGCGCCTTTAACCCCAGCATGCAGGAGGCAGAGACAGGCAGATGTTTGAGTTCCAGCCTGGTCTACAGAGTGAGTTCCAAGAAACCCAGGGCTACAGAGAAACCCTGCCTCAAAACACAAAAACAAACCAAATAAATTCTATTTGTACTAAAGCCCGAGTCTTGGACTAGGGAGGTGGCTTAGTGGTTGGATGGCTGGCCTTAAAAGTATTTGGACTAGAAATCCAGATCCTCAGAACCTGTATTAATGCTCCATGGGCAAAGTGGGCTGTCCAGCAGTTCCAGCCTTGATGATGTAGACAGGAGTTCCCAGATCAAGCAGGCAGAGTGACCACAGCACCAAGCCGAGGGTTTGACTGAGAGATCTTATGTAATGCCAAAAATTAACCTGTAAGCCCTACTGCCTAGGGATCAGGTAACTTCCTGGAATGTCGGGAGTTGCAGTTCTTGGACTATAACAAAAACCTCAAGGGAAAGTACAATGGCCTATAGGTTTGTCTTTATAAACCCCTGTAACAGGGGCCATCCTCAGCTGGGAAATTCCAGGGAGTGGTCCTGGCTAAAGTCCGCCTCTTGTTCAGTATTTAACACTTAATAAAGCTTGCCTTAAATTTGTCCCCACATGGCGGAAATGGTTTTTCTCTGATAAATCTCAGGATTAACACTTGCTTCAATCAATAAGGTGGAATAAAAATCTAGAATGATTACAGTATCAATTTCTGGTCTCCGTGTGTACACCCTGCAACATGCACGTGCCCACCTGCATTTCCATGACTGTGGGCCCACGCACATGCAAACGTGTGTACAGGTTACACACATCAAAGTGGAAAAAGAAAAAACCGCTCTGACATGGGGGCTGCGTACAGAGGGGAACTATAGAATAGAGTGGGGTGGTCCCTTAGACTCTAGCCGCCCCTACTGTTGGCTTAAGCTCTGAGTCCAAAGTGTTCAGCCTGCAAAAATCTTAGTTTTTCCCAGTATAAAAAAAGACAAGATTGTATCACACTTGTACAGATCCAGCATCTTCATTTTATTGAGGTCTGCAAAGACATGTGAACAGTAGCTGGTCACTGGGTTTTAGCCTTCCCTGTTCCTAATGCCAAAATTGACAACAGGGGTTTCTATAAATACATGTATGCACGTAAAAAGCCTAAGAATTAAGAAAATATATTAAAACTTACTCAGGCAGACCCCTCAGAGCTCAAAGAAGAAATGTGGAATGCAGAGTCAAAAGAGGCTGAGAGACTTGTAAATCAGCTACGACTTAATGGCAAAACATTTTCTTTCTTTACTACATCAAATGACAAAAGGACAGAAAATAAGATTTTTTTTTAATTTTGGTAAGTTTGGGTGAAAACTTGGTAATTGGTTCTTAACTTTTTTTTCTTCTCATACTCTTGTATTAGGGCAGATGCTAATAAAATAATGATTACTACATTAGATGTTATACGTTATGTTTAGTGGATAAATGTCTTGTTGCACATGCTGAGCACGTGCGTGTGTGTGTGCGTGCGTATACACTGACACCAGCAACGTCCACTTGCACAGATTCATATTCCTGTTAGAAGCAGCCGCGACGTTATTAGTGCTCACGATGACTCTCCAGTCCCGGGAGCAGCTGACTGGGCAACCAGTGGGTTCATTAGAGAAGGAGACGTACCTTTTTTGTTTGTTTGTTTGTTTGTTTGTTTTGTTTTGTTTTTTAAGATTTTTTTTCCCATGTAGCCCTGTCTGTCCTGGACTCCTTCTACGGACCAGGCTGGCCTCGAGCTCACAGAGGTCCGCCCGCCTCCGCCTCCGCCTCTGCCAGTGCTGGGGCTACAGGCGTGCACCACCGCCCCTGTCAAAAAGTATCTTGTTTTGATGAGAAACATAGAGTAGTTTTTAAAATATGGCCTATATCCAATAATTAGCTGGTCTAAAGTTTTTAAATTATAGTTACAAAAAAATAATAATAATTAATAAGTAAACACCTTTCTGCCTAAATGGCATTTTGCCAAAAAGTTAACTAAGCTTCAAATATTTCAGAAGTCAGGGTGAACCATGAATTAAATTCTAACTCAATGATGAAGAACTAAGAAAAAAGTAATGTCTAAGAGAGAAGCAGCACATGGGCAAAAATTTAATCCAAAACATCAAGTCACATGCTTATAGCACTCAGAAGACTGAGGTCAAGGCCAGTCTGGGTTACATGAGACCCTGCCTCAAAAGTATAATAAAAAACAAAAAGAAAAAGATAAGTTCTACAGGCATAGCTTTCCCTCACCCCCCAAAAAAGCCACATTAAGTCACAAGACACAAAGGTTTGTTTGCAGATGAGCTCTTCAATCTAATACAATCTAATACTTTCTAACTCAAAGAGCAATTCTCTACACATGTCTTTACTTAGCAACTCTTTCATTACCATCATGGCATTTGCCCAAAACATGTACACACCACTGACATGAAGCACCTGTTTGTCATGTCTAAGTCTTTCTGGGCAACCTAAAATGCTCAAATCGGCATCTGGGCGTGTGAATTTGAAACACACATGCCTGTTCTAAAACTGTCAGACTGTATTCATGACCTCAACAACCCAAACTTGGTCAGGCCAGATTATTCCACTAATTACTCCAGAGGCTTCCGATTCACAACCTTCTTCTCTAAGAGATGAATGAGAAAGGAAGAGCCAACAACAGGCGCCAGAAGTCCTTCTTATCATGTTTGCACACAAATTAGCGCTTACATGACGAAACTGTTCATGGCTCTCCCTAACTTCCTTCTGAGGAAGGACAATAGTGGCTCAGAACAGACTGTAAGTGTTTAATCAGCGGGAAAGCAAGAAATGTTGCTGCTTGTATTCAAATACAGTTGGACCCACTTGTAACGCTGGCAGACAGTGTTTACTATGTATCTATAGCAACACAGCCACCAAGGGGAGACAATATAAGTACTACCTCATTTAAGCCTCAAAATGATGCCAAGAAAAGAGACAAAGTGTGGAGAATTAAGTCACTTGCTACACTTTGAACAGACAGGAATTGAACTTGGTACCGAGGCCACTGTGAGACACAGATCTACTTGGCTCACTCTGTGCTTGTGAGGAAAAAGTATTTTTTAGATAAAGGCCAATATTGAAAAATATTTTACGGGGTGGGGTAGTTATTCTTAGAACTTCTGGCTCTCCTTAGAAACCACATCTGGCTACACCCAGTGGGGATTCCATAAGACCATGGTGAACTGGAATTAGGAAGTCAGTGCCCCCTTCAGATCGGACAGCCTGCCACAGTCTCCACCCTTGCCTTAAGGCCTACATGGGGGTAAACCCACTCCCTTGTCCCGTAGTGGGACCTCCTCTTATTAAAGACAATGCTGTATGAATCCTGGGGGAGGGTCTTCACACACCATCACCTCCTGAAATGCACTGAATACCCTTAGACTGTTCAAGTTCCCAAACACTTCATAGGTTTAATGGAGACTACGCTGCTTTTACTGTTGACAAACCTGAACAGGTTCAGAAAATCCCTCAACCCCAGGATCTGCATTGTCCTTCACAAGGTACAAGTGTGTTTGCGAAAGGCCCTCTTCTCTGTGGTCAAGCTGGTTACTTACTGTCATATCTGAAGGTAATGTTCTGCAGCCCGCTGTTTCTGCTGGCTGGCCCCACGCCCTGTGGGAAAACGAGAGAACGTGATTCGGGGTGAAGGCAGCTTACTTTCCCAGCATAGATTCCCCACAGAATCTAAATGCACAAATCATTCCGGAGGCCCAGGGTCATGGCAGTCCTGTAGGCCACCTCCCACTCCGAGTACTGTTCCATGACCCCCTACCCACCCACCCACTCCAAACACCCTCCAGTCCAAGGGACTCCCACTAGGAATCTTGGGCACTCTTTCTCCTAAGACAACAGGAACAGACTGGTCTGTGTTTAGGGGTTAAGTAATTCATTAGCAGTAAAATTAGGATAGAGACCAGGGCTGCCAGATGGAGATCTTCCAGTTGGACCCTCTGATTAGTTATAAAACTCGCCTACCAGACAGCCTCGCCCGGAAGCTCTAGCAAGGCAAGACAGATGGGTAATTCCTCACCTCTACGAAAACCAGTTCTCATTCCAAGACTAGGAATGAAGGTGGGAATAAGCCATTACTTTTAATGAGAAAATTCTTCACTGCCTCCATATATATGCTGGAAATACACAGGGTGGGTCATAAAAGGAAAAAAAGACTTTCAAGGACCCAACTCTTAACTCTTGGTGCTGTGGCCATTAGCCGTCTGCAGCCGTAATAGTGGGGTAAAACTCCAGCAGGCCTCCCACTCTAATCACAGCCGGCAGAGCGAGCAGCAGACCCTCCCACTGACCTGCCTCTCCCTAACCCCAAAGCTGATCCTCATGAGAAAGGGCTGCTCCGGGTCAGCCAACCCACATCTGCCGACTGTTTAAAGATCTCCCTAATAATCTGCAATGCGCCACTCAGTATTAATTGTGGAATTCTCCAGAATATGTTAACTCTCAAGTGCTAAATGATGGGAAGATATTTTAACCACACAGTTCAAGTTTCCACTGAACAAGAAGGATGCTGGGAAAGCCATATGCTGGCAGCCTGGCGTTTTAATGGGCAGTTGTTACACTGAGACACAGTGTGGAGAGCACTTCTGAGGGCCCAGGGTTTCAGGCCACAAGCCCATCACTTCCATATGCTACAGGCATGTCCACGCTGCTTATCCTGAAGCCAGGCACGCCCACTGAAACCATATCCTGGGGCCTTGGAAAATCACAGCTGTGCAGAAAAAGGCAGGCAGGCACAGACAGACACAGAGACACAACAAAGTGAGGAGTAAGCAAGCAAGAACACAAAACCTAAATCAATTAGGTACCCTGGCACCCCGGAGGCTCACTTTCTTGGCTCCCCTTCTTGCTCCAGCTTCCTCCACACACCCCCCCTTTTTTTTTTGCATAGTGTGAGACTCCAGAACCTATCTCATGATATGAAACTTTAGACAGTGAAATATTAGTTAGTATCACTCCTTAGGCATCAGGTTTATACAAACAGAAGCTGCCCGACTTCCAAAAGGCAGACACCCAGTAACAACCAGGAAGACGACAATCCAATTCCCACAGCCCTTTAGGAATGTTCAAAACTGCCAACCACTCTCCCCTCCCTTACAAAGCCCCAGGGCATAAACAAATTCAACTGCCCATGCTGAGGCAAACACTGACTACTGCTGTGTCATGGGATTGACTGGTGCTCATCCTTTCACAGCGGGTAGCTGGATACAGACAAACTGCAACTCCCTGGCCCTCAAGCGCTCCCCATCCAGACGACAAAACAAAAACAAAAACATGGCTAAAGCAAAACAGCCAGCAGCAAAGAGACGCAGGACACCTCCTCAAGGCAGAATATGAATACGCACGAGTGATGGTTAGAAACAACAGGTACAGGATGTGCACAGCGCCCAAGAGAGCAGAGCCTGGTAACTGGGCTCTAATGCTGAGGAAAACAGCAGCATCTGGAGAGGAAGACTAGTCTAGTGCTGGCAACCACTGGGGTAGAGTCTCCTCAAATATCGGTTGGTTGGTTGGTTGGTTGGTTTGTTTGTTTGTTTGTTTGTTTGTTTAGAAGGTACACAGCAGTTTCCCTCTGGGAGGGGGTTTGCAGAAGACCACAGAGCCATGTAGAAGTATTTTTCCACAAGGAAAACATTCCACTTTCGAGCAGGTGTCAAGGGGCTCTAGTGACCAACTGCATTACTTGTGAATTTTGGTTTGTCTTTTCCTTTGTGACTGCTCCCCTGATCTTTTGTTTCTTCCCCTACATTTCCACTGAGGCATGTCTGTAATAAGCATTTATCTGGCACTTGCAATGGCTAATGAGCTCTGTGTGTTGTGTTGTGTTGTGCATACAAGAACCTAAATTTATCCAAGCAAGGTTTCTGATAAGTGGTGAGCTGTCCAAGGAGGCTTAGGGGAGCTGCCTTCAAGTACACTGAAGCTTGTGTGTGGTACCCACACATTACCCACTGATTATTCCAACCTGTCCTAAGCCCTCAGGGCTGGGTGTGGAGTTGCAATCCAGTCCCAGACCTTGACTCCCAAAGGGTCTCTCATAAAGGTAAGATGCACACACGTCCATTATCTACCTTCCTTCAACCCTAGTCCTTTACTGGCCCCTAACCCCTCTATACCATTCTTGTTGTGCCCTTAACTGCCTAGCTCCCTAACAAATTCCTACCCCAAGCCGCAAGCCTATAACACACTGTAGTTCCATTCAGGCAGTCCGGTATTCCCAGAATTCCCTTCTCTTAATGTTCCCCATGAATCAATCCCTTTCTGTTAGGGATTGGCCTGGTGCTATGTATTTTAATGTTAACTACTGGCCCCCAAGATCTTGTCCCTGTGCAGACATTTTTAGGGCATATTCTCACCTGTACCTGACACTCTTGTGTAAACCTTGCTCCATCTAATTAAAAGCTGATTGGTTGATTTAAAAAAAAAAAATGAAGCTTGGGATTTGGTAGAAGAAAAGAAGATGGAGTTTGGGAGTTCGAAGGCTGGGGTTGAAGGACCACAAAGAAGAGGGGAAGAAAGGATCAGGAGAAGAAAACAGACCAGTGCCATGGGTTAACATGGGAAAGACACACATGGCCAGATCAGTGTGGGTGGAGGAGGCAGAGCACATTAATAAGGATTTTGGACCATGGATGGGAGGTAACTTGAGATTGGGGCTGGGAGGTAAAGTTAGAGGGTTACTATCAGGCAAAGGCTATTTTATAAAATACAACAGGTGTCTATGTCTTTATTCGATTGATAGCAGGTTAGATAATACCTAGTAAATAATAAACATTTACTAGACCACAGCTTTTATATTTACCACAACACTTTCCATCACCCAGGTCTTACTCCCCATTACGTTGCCTGACATATCTGGTCCTTAACAGGTTATGTTCCTGACACATCAGACTGCCTGCAGACTCACTGGAGAGGAGTCTAGTCATCACAGTCTCTAAAATTCCACTAGTTTGGCACATCTGTGAACGTAAATGTGAGGTGGAGGCTTTCTTTCCACGTCCAACTGGAGCCCCTAAGCCCTGGAACTATCCAAGTCTAGCCATGAAGCTCAGAAATAGGACACCTCCCTGGGTAGCGGCTCTTATCTGTACTTTAAAGACCTTTTACTCGTGTGGGTCCTGGCATGCTCTTTTGAGTTTCTTCGAGCATGAGCGCAAATCTTCCACTGGGCTGTTGGCCTTATTCATCCCCAAAACTGTTCCAGCTGCTCCAGAGTCCACAGGAGCCACCTTGGAAACACCAGGCTAGCTCACAAAACCACGTTGTTTCCTCTTTATTTCATGACAGAAATGAAATCCTCTTGAATATGTCCATACTCAAGCTCTAGAATAGGTGACTTATTTACCCACACTGGAAGAGACTACATAATCCAAAGTTCAAAGACGCTGAAATGGGCAGAGTGTTCTGGGTAAGCCAATGTGAGGATCCTTAGAAGAAAGACCCTGAAGAGCTGCCATCATAGAAATGGAGATGTGATGGTAGAGGGAAGGGGGAGGGAGACTTGGCTGACTGGAGAATGATTCACATTCACATATTTGACTTGAAGATGGAAGCGGAAAGAGCTACTGAGCCAAAGAGTGTGTGTAGCCCCTACAAGTTGGGCCAGGCAAGGGATGGATTCTCCCCATCCAGCATCCAGAAAAAGCCAGAGCTGCCAACACTGAATTCAGTAGCTTGACTCATTTACTACAAGAATTTTGTGTTATCTTGTGCCATGAAGTTCAAGGTAATTTTTAGAATACCAAGTAGAAGCTGTCTACATGCTGAATGGAGGAGGGGGAAGAAAAGGAAAGGAGAAAGAAAGAAAGAAGGACATGACTGTTTATAGGGATGGTGGAAGAGAAAAATTTATTGTAGATATGAGGGAGAGCAAAAGTCAGAGGTAGGGACATCTAGGAGAGTCCTGAGCCAGGCTTTATGAGGAGAGGAGCGAGGGAAGCCAGGAGAGTAAAGGGTGGACAGACAAAAGACCAACATGGCTGAATTATACGGAAAGGACAGCAGGGGAAGGGCGAGCTCAGGGTAGGGGCAGGGTACACCAGCCTCTAGGCAGGTATACCTTGTAACAGGGACTGAAGGACTCTGGGAGAACTTGGCGGCCAGGTCCACTTTGATGTGTTAAATACGAACCTTAGTTAGCCTTTAGTCCTGGGTTTGAGACCTAACACGTGAATGTTCTAACCACAGAACAGATGAACTGAATCTCAATGTAGCACACACAGCACGTGCCAGCGTGGTATGGCCTCTCCTCCTGCACCCACAACTAATCACTGTCACCTGTCACCTGTCTTCATGGGGAACGTTGATCCCTCACAGCCGGGCCTTGGGATTCTGCCATCTCAGAGATGAGCTTCTGTGGGTCTGCCTGGGCTCATCTGGAGTTAAGAGGAGGGAGCTTAGGCTTATCAGATGTGACTTGGAGTCACTGCCCTGTCACTGCGTGACCTTAGGCAGCTTTCTGAACTTCCCTTAACTACAGACCCAAAGAACAAGGGTCCTTGAAAGGACTAGTGCAGGACTCATGAGGCGACAGATACCAAGTGTTCAGTATTGCATCCGACATAAAACTCAGAAATGCCCATCAACGGCAGGGACCTGAGCTG